GATGAACTTATGCTTCCTTGCTTGTAGGGATATTGTCTCAATGCTTGCTGCTCCTGTGTCACCCCTGGTTAGCCCCATATCTTTAATTCAAGTTCCATGCTCACAGATACCACAGCAGGAATTCCCCTTTAAGCCACACATCAGTGTTCTTAAAGGCTAATTTATCATCTGGCCGAGAAAACAGCTTGGGGATAAAGCTGGACTTTCAATGCACAAAGCATGCATGGTTGCCGTGACTCAAACACAATTTTTCTTTCCACACATTCCACCTTTAATCTCTATGTGGAAATAGAGATGAATGTTACTGGTAACCTTTTGTAACCTTTTAAAAATGGATTTTGTTTTCGTCATTTGACATGAATAGCTATACAGGATTGCCAATGGGGGGGGGGGCGCTGTTATCACAGTACTGAGGGGAGAGGATGCTATCGCCATGAGGTTACGTAATTGGGATATGAAGTGCATGATTGCGAGAAAAAAATCACCACGTGCTTGCATTGTAAGATTTGACCTCTGTGGTTCACTGGACAGCAGTGGCAGAATAATGTGGGGACTCTCTGCTGACACCTACTGGCAAGACACCACATTCTGACTAATTCACACCTATGGATAAGCAGACAGCTCAGCAATACCCACGTGCTACAGGGACTTGTATCAGGAAGCTGGATTTTTGGGTTAGTAAGACTTGTCGGATTTAAGGTATCCTGAGCTAAACGTAAGTGAAAAAAGATAAACCGCTGTACCTTAAATCCGACAATTTATCCAGCTAACCAACAAATCTTGCTTCATGATACAGGCCCCTGGTGACACAGATTTCCCTTACTCGATACAATAGATTTCCATGTGTATTTAGTCTATATTTTGAGTGAAATACTTAGTGATTTTTAGTTGAACGGACCCAAATAACTGTTCAAGTAGTTAAGATGGTAATAGTAAATGAATTTCAGTCAGCAGCTCGGGACTGATTTTAACTTTTGTTATCTGTTTTTTGAGACTTGCAGTACACAGGTCTACAAATTGAATAGGCTGCCCCCCTCTTTATGATGTGGATGGGGAGTTTTTGGGGGCTGGTCCATAACATCCAGAATGTTTCAGGAGGAAAACAACTGCAAAGATGGTTTGAAATATAATCCAAAGATGTGTTTAACGTTACTGTTTCAGTTATCTTTGGATGAGTCACTGTTTCAAGGGATGAATAGCATCTGAAGACAGGATAAAATTTGTTCAACCTTCAAGGTATTTTTTTAAAGTGGTTAGCTTCTTTAAGAAATATGTTCTATTCTGAATTTCAACTTTCATCCATAACTTTCCATAACAGCATCTAAACTAATATGGGATGTTTCTGCATTGTTCAGTATTATCCAATTAGGCCTACTCACCCCCAGCTGACCAAGACCTGAGGCAAGATGTATTTCAGGTTAGATTTCAGGTATATAGAAATAAGGTTCAGTCTGATTGGATGAGCCCATTGCAGAACACATATTTTAAATAGACATGTATATCAAAAGTGAAGTATCATTTTGAGAAAGCATGGACAGACAATTGTGGATTAAGTGCTGTGCTCAAGTGCTCAATGGTGACATCACCCTTCTGACCATGGGATTTGAACTGGCAACCTTCTCATGATAGGTACAGAAACCCAACCTGTGGAGCCATTCTCTACAAAATTGCATCCTTTGAAGCAGATTTGGACCAGTAAACTAAGGATGTTAATTCATATTCCACTACAGCCCTCCACTCTACCAAGTGACCTATCAAAGAAGACACTGGATAGCAAATTCAAACATGCATATTTATTATGTTTGTTTGAGAATGAATGAACATTGATAGTTGATAAAGCAATCAGAAATTTTGGATTGTCTTTTGAGTTGCTAGCTGTCTGGTATTGTTAGAGGGAAATGGAGTTCCTGATGGAAAAGTGCACACACCCAGGAAGAACGCAGAGATTTTACCAGAATAGAGCTGCAACTGTAGCCAAAATCTGTGAGCTGTGAGCCATCAGCACGTCCCACTGAGGCGTGCTGTAAAGCCCCACGTGGAGCACTCAAATCAATCTAGCACAAATTGTTTTTGAAATCAGTGCAATTACAAGCAGGGGAGGCTTCACCCCCGTCTTTATAATGGTGTTTTTTTGCAACACAGTTACTCCATAAATCGACTACAAGACACTGAAATTGCCATGTTTTAGTTTTCTGCTTGTCTAGCTGAGCCAAGAGAGATTTTGTTAGTACTTTTCATCAGCACCTATTATCAGCTCTAGATATTTCTTTCAAACTACCTGGGGTTTGTTCAAATATCACCCACCGTGTACATGCTGGAAATATTCAAAGAATACTGATTGTTTTAAGCGGTTGCCTGCTGTTCATGTTTGAATTCATAAAGCAAATTTTTACGTACTGTATGCAATTTATCTTTTAAGAAACTGAGTCTGTTAAAGACATTTTATACAGAAAAGCACTGCATGGTTATTGTGTGACTTATTACAATTTATGTTTTAATTTTGATTACGAAATAAAGCCAAATATTATGCCAAATGTTATATCTACGGAAGAGGATTATGGCCACCATGAAAATATTATTTGAATTCTGACTTTAATCTAAGAATTCTTACTTTTTTTTTCTCAGAATTCTGACTTTAATCTCAGAATTCTGACTTTTTTTCTAAACTCATTAAAGTCAGAATTCAAATAATATTTTCATGGTGGCCCTAATCCTCTTCTGTATTACATCACATGCTTCATTCTAAAAACCATTTAGCTTGCAATGTTTCTTAAATCAGTGAACTCAAGATTTGAGTTTGGGGTGGTGAGCAGCTCTGTGCCCGTGATCAAAAGATTGCCAGTTTGAGTCCCGGCCTCAGCAGAAAAGCCACATGTTGGTCGGCCCTTGATCAAGGCGCTTAACCCCCAGCTCCGGGGGTGCCGCACATCGGCTGACCCCTCAAGCTATGGAGACCAAACTGGGGTAGATGAAGAGGAGCAGTCCAATATATTTGTGCAATAATGCACTTCTGTAGTATTTTCATAGTCATATAATTAATAGTCCAGCAAGAATATAATTTTAAACATTATACCAGCAGATAAGTTTCTGTATGGAACCAATAATTTGTTCTGTAATAAGCATTGTGCCTTTTTAAACCCAGAACATCAGGTACATCTACCAGAAGTTAATGTAGAAAGTCTTAACTGATTTAGGTGATTCAAATCACTTTTATAAAGATATTTAATGTGTTCAGCTGTTTGCTTAGCTATACTTTATGTTTTACCATTTTGCCTGCTATTCTGTTACGGAAGAAATGCAGTAGAACAAAAGTCATGCTCATAAAAATCCGAAAAGTGCAAAACATAAATGCAGAAAAAACATTGGTGTTGGAAATATATGTAGGTATGGTAAATATCAATCAGGCACCAAACCAGCGTTCAAACATGGGAACAAAGTCATTCTTATCTTATTGGTACATTTTCATGCCTCAAACCAATACAATATGCCTGATATCTGCAATCTAGACGGCTTGTGTCCAAGAATACTGACATCTGCTGGTATTGGCACATGACTCTGTAAACCAATGGGCTGCCAGTCTGTCTTTGCATGCTAATGAGTCTGACAACTCACTGAAAAGTGTGTCTGTGTGTGTTGCTCTGTGAGTTAGGACTCTGTGCCTGTGATTAGAAAGTTGCTAGTTCATATCTTGTGGTTGGCAAAGTGATTTCACCATTGGGCCCAATTGCTCCAGGAAGTGGCTGACCACGCTTTCTTAGTCATACAGTACGTCACTTTCTATAGAAGTGTCAACTAAATAAATAAATGCAAGTGTAAACAAATAGTACTGGGTGTGGGATATTTCAGGATTTCAGGGAGATATACGATGACAGTACACCTTCAGTGCAAAGATGGATTTAAGAAAGAATACTAAAAAGCCATTTGGGGGGGAAATGCCATTTCTGAATAAATAATTTCTCATCCCCAAACTTTGTAAATCTTGTTCAATTCCTATCCACTCGGACTAGATAAAATGCACCCCCCGAAAGCCTTCCTTCAGATTCCATTTTTAGAAACGTAACTCATGTACTGATGCCGAGTCCAAGGTGTCCCTGCCCCGTGCCCCATTCTTGCTGAGAGCCCCAGGCTCAGTGTAACCCAGGACTGGAGAAACAGTTACAGGAGAGAGACAGATGGAAAGGTACGACCAAGTCAGAAGGTATAAAACAGGTGAGCATAGACGGACACATATATTACTCGGTACGCACAACACATTTTCAGAATAATTGTGCTTCAGATTATTTATATACTGTTCATTGAAGGTAATTTTCAGTAAAAATGTTTGGATAAGTTTATTGATGAATATGCCTGTTTATATCCAAAGGACCATTTTATGTATTGCTGCAATAAAATATCTAATTGTATAAAATCTTAAAATTTTAAGATGCTTGAGGAACACGAAAAGTTATCCACGGTCATTTGCCTTTTCACGTCATGTCATTTATTCTTAAATTACAACCAAATAGGATATGTCGTGATATGTTTAATTACAAACAAAATAATTTACCTTCCTTTTGACACAATGTATTCAAATCGGTATATGTATTAACGTTGCTGAACTTCTGCACATTTTCCCCCTCTGGATCGCTGATCAATATCAATAATTATCAAAATGACAGCTATACATTGGAACAATGTAAAAACCGGTTTTATTTCTTTCGAAAAAGTTCAACTCCAATATAAAAATAGCTAAAACGATTTCTTGGTCGCTAAACATATACCTTAACATAAAAGAATTTGAAAAGAGGATATATTTTTAATGATTCTCTTTTTTTTTTAATTAATAAAGTCAGACATTTCTATATGATACGATACACAGACCCTCATATGTAGACCGGTACCATAGTCTGGATAAACCGGAAGCGCATTTTACCTGTAGCTTGATTGACAGTTGCGTTGACCGCTCATTTGATCATGTTGCTTGGAGGACGTCTAGGTCCCGCCCCCACCGAGAGGCGCGAACTCTGACCCCTGGCGAAAAGCGCCTGGAAGAGCGGTGCTGTATTTCTGCCTCCTCCGCAGAGACGAGCGAGGTCTCCATTTAAACGCGGCTGAACGCCGAGGGATGAGATTTGACTCCTCGCGTTGGTGATCCGGCTGCAGAATAGGGCTTCGCTCGTCTTGACAAAGTACAGCGATCGTGGAGACGGGAGGGAGATTAAAAAAATTGGAGCGCGGAGGAAAAAATTACGTGGCGCTTAGAGAATAATACTGGCACGTAACAGGGCGATAAGTGCTAACGTTAGCCGCAGCTAGCAAACATGGCGAGCGCCTCATACCACATCTCCAACCTGCTGGAGAAAATGACGTCCAGCGACAAGGATTTCAGGTACCCGCGCCTGGAAATATGCACCCCGCTCTTAGACTGCCCTTCGTTAGCAAACTGCCCCCGGTTTTCTAACACTTTTCTGTAGACGTAGGGACGCTCTTCAGACGCAGGTACCCGGCCGGCTGGACGTGAAGCCTCGCTTAGTAGGCCCAGCCTCTGTTTATATTTTGGGAACTCATTCGTTATGGCTAAACTATTAACCGTACTTATTTGAGGGTTAATCATTATTGTTTTTTCAGATGTTTTTCTTTATTTTAATCTCCTTTCGGGTTGCAACCCCAAACACGCTTCGTTTCACCGCGTCGTAGTAGAGGTGGAAGGCGGCGGAACGGGGCGCGTTAGTCTGGCTGTGGCTGTGAGCTTGATGGCTCCTGCGGAGCAGCGTGGGTCGGCCGGTTTGGCGGTGTCCCGCCGTCGCCGACCGGCCGCCCTGTCTCAGCCGGGGCAGGGTCTACGGTGAGCGGCACGGCAGGATCTCTGCAGGCTGCTGTTGGATGGCAGGCGTGTTCATTCGCACCGAGACTGACGGTTGTAGTTAGATATCCACTAGCCTGTAAAAGTAATTCTAATACTGTGCAGGGTGACGTGAAGCACTTGGTGCTAATTAGGCCTTTTGAGAAGGTAACTGTCACTGAAGGCGTGTCTCCTATGTGGGTATGCGGTCAAATGTGCGGCTTGTTTCTGCCAAGTTCAGCTTCTTTTTTTTTTTTTTGCATTCCCCATTCCCCTTTATTCGTGAATTGGGTATTGTCGATTTTATTTTTGATAATTCATTCGTTAAACATCCCTTTCAAATAAACATTCGGTATTGCCCGAGTGTGAAATGGTGAAATGGTCTGCCTGTCCAATGGAAGTTTCTTACCCTGCATTATTAGTCTAGGGAATAGCAGGGCCATTCGTGCCTGATGTACTTCAGATTTGTTAGCTGCACTAAAACAGCACAGCCTTGACAAAAACTCCAAATCCTAAAAACGATCGTCTGCAATGTGTATTTATCATCAATACTGCATACGGTATTTACGTTCACGCTGGTCGGTATTTAATTACTGCGTTAAAACGACACACAACTATAATGCCACTATGGGCAGGAAGTGCTGTGCTCTTTGATAGGAGTCCCTGATTAGTAGTGGGGGGATAATTGTTGCGTTTTCTGTCAAACTATATGAAGATCATCTAAAGTACAAATTTTATGGTGTGCAAGATAGTAAATGTTAATCTGAACGAACCGAGCTCGGGTCCGTAAGAAATGACTCAGATTTTGCCCGTTTATGTGTCCTTGACTGTAACGCCCATCCGTCTGCTGCTTTGCAAGCTAAATGTAACGACGGTAGTCATTAAGGGCGATTAAAACACAGCTGTCACAACCCGCCAGCGATGTTATTTCAATGTCACATTTAAGGCAAAAGTAGGAGGCTGAGTCGCGCTTTTGAAAAGTGCAGTGCGACAAAAAATGTGTACTATTGATGTGGGTGGATGAAGCCGGTCTGACTTTAAATTCTTATCACAAGGAAGCGACCCTTTTCAGAAAGGCTGCTTCATTCTGCAAGCACCGCAGGTTGATGAAGATGGGCCTTGTGCTGCATCTTTCATTTTGAGACGAGGTCTCAGTGTATGAAACAGACTGTGATTGGGGACAGAGGCCCTGTGGTGCTCCTGTGTGCAGCAGCGCAGATAACGCAACAGTCCAGCAATGCAGATGGCAGTAATGGCACACTCTGATAGATCAACAGTGAAAGTGACAAGCCAGTTTGCTGCTCTGTCACATGATTTGTACCCAAGTTCTGTCTCACGCTGGATTGTTTTTGTGGGTTTGTAGATTTTGGACGTGACTCTTCATAATTTCATTAATAAGTAGGCTGAGTGGGGAATGCATTGTCAGTGTTTTGCAGGTCGCATGTGTTTTTGGGCCGGTTCTGGGAAATTGAGGCTGGAACAGCAGCATTTTAATGTTGTGCACAGCAAGAGAGGGAGAACGAGGTGCGGGGAAAGCCAGGCGTGAGCTTTAACAGTTTGGTGCATCATTGTGTGGTGTTAAAGATGTTAGTCAGTTACTGTGTGCAGTGTTGAGGTGGCTTAGGTGAACTGTGAGTGGACTCTGGGGGATGTAAGCGCATCATATATGCTGGTGTGGAGTTTGGTGGTATTGGAACGAAGGCAGTTAGAAGTAGCTGTCATAGATACTTTTGGCTGCCAGTCGATGAAGGTGCGCATCAGGGCCTGGTGCACGATGCGAAACCTGCTCTCACTAGTGCAGAGTTATTGCACATTGAATTCAAGCGCCAAAAAAGATGGATGGATCTGCAATATATGGACAAATGTATTGGTACACCTGGCCATTACAACTATTGGAAATTCTGTGATCTCCCTAAATCCATAAGTATCAATATGGAGTTGGTCTCACCTTTGCATCTATAACTGCTGCCACTCTTCTGGGAAGGCTTTCCACACGGTTTTGGGGTGTGTCACTGGGAATTTTTGCCCATTCATCCAGAAAAGTATTTGTGAGGTCAGGCACTAATGTTGGACCTGAAGGCCTGACTCGCATCTTCTGTTCTAGTTCATCCCAAAGGTGTTTGGGGTTGCAGTCAGGTCTCTGTGTGGGCCAGTCAAGTTCTTCCACACTAAACTCTCGCAACCATGTCTTCATGGACTTGCTTTGTACACTGGGGCACAGCCATGCTGGAACAGAAAAGGGCCTTCCTCAAACTGTTCCCACAACGGTGGAAGCATATGATATAATTGTCCAAAATGTCTTGCTATGCTGAAGCATTAAGAGTTGCCTTCACTGGAACTAAGGGGCCTAGCCCAGCCCCTGAAAAACAACCCCATGTCATTATCCCTCCTCTACCAAACTGTACAGTTGGTACAGTGCAGTCAGGCTAGTAATGTTCTGCTGCCATCCACCAAACTCAGACTCGCCAATCACCAGTGGCTGCGTGCTTTAGACCAGCGATTCTCAATCCATGGGTCACAACCTAAGTTTGGGTCCCAGCAAGTTCTGAAAGGGTCGTGAGGCAGAGTTGGAAACGTAAACATTTTAAAACCAGCAAGCTCCTATGCTATGATAAGATTTCTCAGCCCCAATCCTAGCATTAACCTATATAAACCGGTCTTGGGTCTGCAAATGCTTCATGCAAAACTAGTGAACACTGAATCAACCCAAGAAGCCAAACCACAGATGCTTAATTCAAAATTCACTGGCATGTTCAGTCAAATGTGTGCAATAGGCATTGATTGGTGGGAATCTCAGAATACACTGCGTGCTTGTTCGTAGTGTTAATTTAAACCTGTACTTGGTATAGGGTTGCGATTGAGCAGGCATGGTAAAGAATGGGTCGCGGCGTAACAAAGGTTAAGAACCACTGCTTTAGACCACTCCATCCGACACCTGGCAATGCATTTGTCGATGTGAGGTTTGCATGCAGCTGCTTGGCCATGGAGGCTCATTCTATAGGGCTCCCAGTGCAGTTTTTCTACTGGCGTTTGGAGCTCTGCAGTTAGAGCCAACAGAGCGTTGACAACTCATGCACTATGCATCTTAGCGCTCAGCGACCTCACTCTCTTACGTTACGTGGCCTGCCTCTTTGTCTCTGTTGTTCCTGAACGATTCCACTTTGCAATAATACCACTTACAGCCGACCGTGAAATATCTATGAGGGAAGAAATTTCACAAACTGACTTATTGTGAAGGTGGCATCTTATTACTGTGCCACACCTGAATTCACTAAGCTTTTCAGAATGACCCATTCTTTCACAAATGTTTGTAAACCAGACTGCATTGCTAGGTGCTTGGTTTTATATATTTGTGGCATTGGGTCTGAATGAAATGCCTGAATTCAGTGATTAAGAGGTGTATCCCAGTACCTTTACCCATATAGTGTACCTGAAAGCACAGGTGCCTGACTACTATTACATGCAGGCTCTTATGCCCTCGACTTGTGGATTGAGCAGATGTTAAATTTGTCATTTAGCGGATTGAATTTAAGTCACATGTGATTGTTCATTGCCGTTCACTGAAAGGGAAAGCCGACCCAAATGACAGTGATTGAAATGTGGAGTAACCAGTCGGGAGTCTTTGGCAGTGATGAGTCTGCTCTTTTTCTTGCTCTGTTGTTTACCCATTGGTGTAGAATATATATGCTTGTCAATGCAACATTCATGAAATGCAGTTATTCTGTATATGTGGCCTTTTTTTGATGTTTTATTTTAATATGCTTTTAACAGTATTGGCACTAATTGCTGTCCTGTCCTTAAGCTCAGTTATTTTTTTTCCCAATTTGAGATGAGCATGCCTGAAAAATGTCAAGGAGCCATAAATTACCATGACACTAGCAGCAACTGTACCGATCAAAATGGAGACATTGATTGATCGTTTATCCTGTGGAATGGGTAGGCTTTACACCCTCCTCAGGGTTTTGTATTTAATTAAGAATATGCAGGATTAGGCCTATACTTGCAGTTCTTGAGTGAACTTTCTGGTGTGTCCTGTTTTGATAAGTTGTCGAGCTCATAAAATCACTTGGGGCGCTGTTCATCTCAGTTCTTCATTTTGCAGTTATCCTTCTGTCTTGCCAGCTGTCTCACAATCCCCTCTGTGGCAGAACTGTCATCCAATTTCTGTGCAGCTGGATGGGATTGTGTCCATGGAGTATGAACGTGTTTCCCGCTGCGTGTTGCAGAGATGATACATGGTGTTAATGCTGAGGGTTTTCATGTGTTCCTGTCCGCTCTGTCTCTCCTGTCAAGTACTGGGTGCATGTAGTCATTCAGTAGCCTTCCTTCTTGAGGGTTGCCCTAGTCAGGTCTTCCAAGGTTTACCTTTGTTGGATAAGTAAGCGCATCTCGGAATGTGGACCTTACTGGGAAGTGTTCAGGTTAAGTGTCTGTGCCATATCTGCCTTTTTAAAAAAAAAAAAAAAAAAAAAATGTCGATTTGTGAAAATCCAGCCAGCCTGATGTGTTTTATTACTCGTAGATGTGTATGTGTCTAATTATTGTGTGATTCCCTCCAGGTTCATGGCCACAAATGACCTCATGTCCGAGTTGCAGAAGGACTCCATAAAACTCGACGACGACAGCGAGCGCAAGGTGGTCAAGATGATCCTCAAGCTGCTGGAGGACAAGAACGGAGAGGTGCAGAATCTGGCCGTCAAATGGTAGGCGCTGTGTACCTCGGCGGCGGTCTTCTGCATTCTGGGTCACAATGTGGTTTGGGGGAAGCTCCCCTCTCTAAGCCTTTAGCATGGCAGCTAGCCCTACTCCAGAGGGCAAGTCCCATCTTCATATGTGGTGTTTAGTGCATCCAGCAACCTGTTATGCTCTTCCTCAACCCATTGGTCACTGTGCGTAATTAATATAATTGCTTAAATTAATATTCTCTATCAATATAATTTCTTTATAGTTGAAAAGGGCATTGTTTAACACATAAATAATAATAATAATTGATACTTTATTGATCCCCGTGGGGAAATTGTTTTTACGCCTCCCTCAACTTGCTCTTTGTAGAGCAAGCTGTCCGCTTGCTCTAAATGAGATCATCTGGATGTTTTTCTGCTCTGCCTCCAGTTCCTGGTGCATGTTGTCTAACTGCTTGCGCAGTTGTACATTGTGCCGGGTAGATAAACGGCCGTGTTTAGAGCTCAACAGCTAGGCAACGTTAATGTCAGAAAGTGGGAGCCTTTATTCTGTAGACGTATCTGGCAGGATATACTTTCCTTTGTTCAGTTTGTCAGGAATGTTACTGTGACGCCACAGTCGATATTCAGGAGAACAGCATTAAGTATGAAATGGATCAGTGCTGTTGTCAGATTCACATGAACATGTGGTTTATCACAGAACGCAGGGTGTGTTTATTTTTTGTAGTGTCGTTTTGATTGTGAATCCCTGTCCCCTGAATTTTTGCATGGTGTGTTTTCAGTATTTGCTTTAGAGATGCTTAAGCGGTTCTGCATCGCTTTTGTTTGCCGGTCAATGGATCTACCGGCGCATGAAGCTTACACATGTTTTGCTGGAAGTGACGCTGCTGCAAATTACCGGGTGTTTTTTTTTTTTTTTTTTTGCTCCATCTACTTTAATGCTGTTCATTTTGCTGTCTCTGCTCTAGCTTGGGGCCCCTCGTCAGTAAGGTGAAGGAGTACCAGGTGGAGACCATAGTGGATACACTGTGCACGAACATGCTGTCCGATAAGGAGCAGCTCAGAGACATCTCCAGTATCGGCCTGAAGACCGTCATCGGGGAACTGCCCCCAGCTTCCAGCGGTGAGTGTCATGGTGCCTCCCCATGGAGCTGGGGAGCGAGCGTGGGTCCAGGGAGCAGCAGAAGGGGGTTTCTCCACCTCCGTTTAGAGGGGAAGCACCATCCACAGGAGCTGCTGGATGGACAGCCCAAGAGCTGTCCTAATGACTGCGCTCAGTTTCGTCGGTCACTGAGATCTTTGAGAGTTCTTTGTGTTCCTTTCATGATATCCATGTAACTGGAGATGGAGCAGTGTCTAGGCATTGCGGCTTGGAGGAGATGGTTCCCGGCCGTGTTTGGATACTGTAAGCTGACTGCTCCCCCCCCCCCCCCACCCTAGGCTCTGCCCTCGCCGCCAGCGTGTGCAAAAAGATCACGGGACGCCTCACCAGTGCCATAGCCAAGCAGGAGGATGTGTCCGTGCAGCTGGAGGCCCTGGACATCATGGCTGACATGTTGTGCAGGTGCAGGGGTTGGGGTGGGGTGGGGTGCGGTGCACGTCTGCCTGTCTCTTCTCTTTGGTGCCGGTGGTCTGAGAGTGAGAGGATGTGACAATGGCATCTGCCTGTTGAAATGTGAACACTTCAGCTGTTTGTCTGTGTTTATACTATTCCGGAGCACCAAGGACACATCAAGGTCACTGCCAGCTTTAGTGGTGCTTTCGGTCTCCTGTGGCTGCCCTGATCCCCTTTCTCGGCTGTGGGCGATTCATGGATGTCTGTGCTCCGGTGGGGGGGGGACGGGGGGCAGGCACGATTGCAGGCTATCTTCTAAACCGAGTGTCACTGTGTCACCCCACCCCCTCGCAGACAGGGCGGCCTTCTGGTGAACTTCCACCCCTCCATCCTGAGCTGCCTGCTTCCCCAGCTGACCAGCCCCCGCCTGGCCGTGAGGAAGCGCACCATCATCGCGCTGGGCCACCTGGTGATGAGCTGCGGCAGCCTGGTGTTCGTGGACCTGATCGAGCACCTGCTGTCCGAGCTCTCCCGCAACGACACCATGTCCACCACGCGCACCTACATCCAGTGCATCGCCGCCATCAGCCGGCAGGCCGGCCACAGGATAGGTGAGGCAGTGAGGAAGCGTGCCGTCTATGGTGCTTCTGAAGGGCTGCGTCACTGGGGGCAGCACCGGCATAAATGTGTCTTATTTCACAGATGTTTTAAAATGATAAATTTACCCCCCACCCACACTCTTCCTCAGTTTTCACTCCGGGAATCTTCAGATATACCGTAATAGCTATATTTACCACATCACATCTGGTTGTTTGCTGCATGTTTTTAAAAAAAGAAAAATTATTTTTAATATCACAAGTGACTTTTTTTCAGACAGCATTTCTACCTGCTTATTGGTCAAACCTTAGCGGGTTTCCCCATCTGATTGGAGCAAATAGTTACACGCCCCTGTTGTTAACCCCTCTGCTGCTGCTACGCAGGGGTGTGTTGAGGATGCCTGTTACCCTGGGTCTGGAGGAAGCTGCCTTCTCGTTTACCTATATAGAAATTTTAAATATGCTTTATTTTTGTCTCTGTGGTGCGGCTTTGGTTTATCTTAACAGGGGATGATGCAGCTGTGCCGTTTCATGGCTTCGTGCTTCATGTTTACCCCTGAAAGAACTGGAGTCGCCGTTACGACTTTCCATCTGAGAGTATACAAGCGGGCCAGCCTGGATACCCCTGTGTCCATCTAACAGCAGAGCCAGCGCTCATTTAGTGATGTTTCTCTGGGCCTGATGAGTCTTGGCAGCCCGTCGCTACCCGAGCAGAGGATTTTTCGGACTTTTCTAAACCAAAAGGACGGCGAACACGGCAGCAATTAAGATGCACGAGATTTGGTGCCAGCCGTCACATCCACTGTGTGGTTATCTGTTTGCGTTTTAATTAAGTTTCTTTCTCTTTGAAAGTGCCCCCTTACAGTTCTATGCCGTCTGCTGCACATCCCCCATGTTCTTATTCTGCTGTAGCCTTTAAAAGTAGTAGATGTGGTGCCCTCTTCCCATAGCGGTGCTCTTCTGACCCGTGATGTGAAAGATCAAACTCGGGGCCAGTTCAGACATTTGTTAATTGATCAGCTACCACAGCCCGATTTAATTTCATTTCCCATATCTGCCCAGTTTATGTCAGTTTCGTCGATTGTAGGGTTCCGTCACGCTACAGAAAGCCTGAGGCACGTGGCTTGAAACAACAAACTATCAAGATGTCAGCCATGTGGAATGTCTTTAAATTGGAAACTCAGTGGCCTCACAACTACCTGCAATGTTTGCAGAGCCGTCTTTTCAAGGGGAGGTAGCAACAGAGTGTCATTTAATATATTGAATCTAATTAGGCACTTGCAGAAACATCGTAAGCATGAATACTGCAAAATCGTGAAGCTTACTCAGCCGAAGAATGCAGCGATGCCTGCTATTCGTGTATGTATATTTTAAATGTGTGTTAAAAGATCAGATCGGGGACTCAGAATTGGTAGGGATGTATATTCAATGGATTGCATTGGGGTACCAGAAAATTGTGACATGCCTGCTTCTGACTCTTGGGTGATGTCTGAAAAGGCGTCATTCAGCCTATTCATGCGTAACGTTCCTCTGAATGAGTCTGCGCCTGTGTGTCTCCCGGCAGGTGAATATTTGGAGAAGATCATCCCATTGGTGGTGAAGTTCTGCAACGTTGACGACGACGAGCTGAGGGAATACTGCATCCAGGCCTTTGAATCGTTCGTCAGAAGGTCTGTTCTCTTTTTCCCTCACTGACTCATGTCAGGGGTCTAGTGGCAGGGCACCGATGCCAGTTGTCAGCACAGTTTAATTGAGCTGTATAGTATCAGCGCTTGTGGGAACCGCCTTGTGTGTGAAATCCAGTGAGGTTCAGTGCTCGGCCAGCCATAGAACTGCAGGCGTCTGATAGGCCGGAGCGGGCTTATCTGTCTCTGTAGAGCAAACCTCGCAGCTCAGGCTCAATCATCAAGTGTTGGCCTCGAAGACAGACACACTGTGGCTAATAGCACCCACCTGCGCCCCCTAGTGTATGCCCGCTTGCCCTGCTTTCTTCCTAGATTCCCCTGCTAGCTTTTTTTTGTTTTAATCTCTTAGAACACGTGCATTTTATCGGTGTGATCGTATATGCACGAGCCGGTAGATCAGCGTGAAAATCAAATGGCAGTGAGATGGAAGCGCAAGCGGCTTTGAGCTCTCAGGCATGCTGCTGCTTTCATGCCGCTAATTAAGTCTCTTTCGACAAACCAAAGGTTCTCTCTATGGAGGCATAACAAAGATTTCTCCTGCAGATGTCCGAAGGAAGTGTACCCTCACGTGCCCACCATCATCAGCATCTGTCTGAAGTATTTGACCTACGACCCTAACTACAACTATGATGATGAAGACGAAGATGAGAACGCTATGGATGCCGATGGCGCGGACGAGGACTACCAAGGTGCGTAGATTGCCAGCCGAGATGTCCAGTATCTGAGCCCCCACCGTGGCACTGATGGGCTGTCTGGGGGGCAGGGGAGAGCATATAAGCATCTTGGAACGGCTCCCTTGGAATGCCTGTGCTTGTCATTCTCATTTGAATGCTCTCTCTGCTGAGTTAAACGCCCTTCTGCCACTTAACAGTAACTGATGCAGTCTCCTTCCTGATGGTTATAAACTGCGTGCTGCAATGTCCATCGATCTGTTTCCTTTGACGTACCTTTGCTGCTGTTTTCTGGGCCGATCGATGGTGTTTTGTCCTCCCTTTTTGAGGTTCTAGGCGTACTCTTATCTGCCAGGTGTAATCCTCTCTCAGATGTTGCCCGCACTTTGTCCTCTCTGTGGTTGAATATTTACAGCTACGTCTGAATCACCACCCTGTCCAACCGTGACATTTTTGTGGCCGGGTGGGGTTCTGTTCACACCCCCCGGCCCACCAGGTCACGTTTTACTCAGCGAATCGATTTTCGTTTTTTTTTTTGTGGTGCCTTTTTAATAATTCATGCAGCCAGCTGTCTGCTGTGCTGTAAATGCCCTCTGGGGGTCGCCAGCTGTGGTATATGATGAATCTGTCTGAATTATGATAGGGGCCCCTCCCCGCCCCCAAAGCTGCCGCCCTTAAAAGGCATTATGGCTGGGGGCAGGAATAGGTAGTGCAGTGTAATGGGTCTGTCAGAAGCAGATTTTGCCATCCAGCTCTTGCCTGAGTTTTGCTGCCGTGTCTGAAAGCTCCATCCTCCGCCTGCATGGCCTGCTGCTGTTTCTCAGGAATTCCCCCCGGTTTGCTGGGCTGAGATCCTGTGTGTTTCGCACATCTCTGCGCCGTAACGTGCCCGTTCGCCTTGGAAGTGGGAGGAAAGGTTTAGTGAGATGCTCAGCTTGGGCTGCATACAGATTTCTCATCACAGCAGAAACTGCCCCGTCAGCTGGTGCGATTTTAAGCTGAATAAATCTCCCTCCCTGTAATGATGTGACAATTTAAAAAAAAATAAAATAAAGTAGCATGCGATGTGTGCTGCCATGAGTCGGGATTCTCCTGGGTTTGTTCTGTCCATTGCTGTCTTAAAGTCTGAGTGAGATTACCTCATGGACAAAAAAAAAGATAAAGCCCCGCTTTTGTCAGCCGCAGTGGGTTTCTTGGCTCCCCCCCCCCCCCCCCCCCGCAGCTGTGATTTGGGATTTACTGCTATATGGTGAGATGCAGCCACATTTGGGGGGTGCAGGGCCACAGGCTGTGCTCTGTCCCTCCCTCCCTCACTCCCGCCTGGTCTCATACGCCTCCCCCTACCCCCCCAACCCCCACAGGCAGCGATGACGAGTACAGCGACGACGACGACATGAGCTGGAAGGTGCGGCGGGCAGCCGCCAAGTGCCTGGCGGCGGTGGTGAGCACGCGGCACGAGATGCTGCCCGAGTTCTACCGCACGGTGTCGCCGGCGCTCAGCGCGCGCTTCAAGGAGCGTGAGGAGAACGTCAAGGCCGACGTCTTCTACGCCTACCTGTCGCTGCTGAAGCAGACGCGGCCCGCCCAGAGCTGGCTGTGCGACCCCGACGCCATGGAGCAGGGCGAGACGCCGCTCACCATGCTGCAGAGTCAGGTGCGCCCCCTGCTGTCCGTGCCATGCCTTCTGCATGTCTATGTGGAGCTTTGCTGGAATATTCCATCACCATCAATCAGATAGCCTGTGCTTTTAAACTGGCACACATTTTCCTAAGTTTGTGTTTGTGATTAGCTGTCACAGGTAAGCCTTTGAAATTAGAAATGCAGGCCTTTGTCAAAATATTAAACATGAATAATGTAGATAAATAACTTAATAGATGCGATGATACGAGAACATAGGACTCTGGTATGAAGGATCGTTCCCCTGAAGCCCCCCTGCACTGTTCGATGGAGTCGTGAGGCTGCTTGGTGTTCCTTCTGCAGCTGAGCTGCCTGCCTGCATGTTGTGGCTGCAGGTGCCTATGATTGTAAAAGCCCTGCACAAGCAGATGAAGGAGAAGAGTGTGAAGACCAGGCAGTGCTGTTTCAACATGCTGACGGAGCTGGTCAATGTCCTGCCCGGAGCCCTCACCCAGCACATCCCCATGCTCGTCCCGGGTAGGACTGCCCACGCCTTGCTTTGGCTCTTAGAGGCTGTTTGGGGGGACGTTTGTCACTGATCAGGAATGTCGCAGGGATGATTTTAGGATGTTTTTAAAGGTGGAGAGCCGTAATCCATACAGAAGGCACAGCCTCATTATTAGCCAATGATATGTTTTGAATCTGTGAATGATAGGGGAGGAGGCTCTGTGGGGCCAATCCGCATTCAGCCCCTGATAAGTCAAAATAATGGCTGTAGATGTTTATGGTTGATGTATATCCTTGGCAGGAATCATATTCTCTCTCAACGATAAATCCAGCTCCTCCAACCTGAAGATTGACGCCCTGTCCTGCCTCTATGTGATCCTGTGCAACCACCAGCCCCAGGTCTTCCACCCCCACGTGCAGGCGCTGGTACCCCCTGTAGTAGCCTGCGTGGGGGACCCCTTCTACAAGATCACCTCGGAGGCCCTGCTGGTCACGCAGCAGCTGGTCAAGGTCATCCGGCCGCTTGACCAGACGGACGCCTTCGATGCCTCACCCTACATCAAGGACCTCTACGCCTGCACGATCAAGCGGCTCAAAGCAGCCGACATCGACCAGGAGGTGAAGGAGCGGGCTATCTCCTGCATGGGCCAGATCATCTGTAACCTGGGCGACAGCCTGGGCTCTGACTTGCCCAGCACCCTGCAGATCTTCCTAGAGCGGCTCAAGAACGAGATCACCCGTCTGACCACGGTGAAGGCCCTCACGCTCATCGCTGGCTCCCCGCTCAAGATCGACCTGCGGCCCATCCTCAGCGAGGCCGTGCCCATCCTCGCCTCCTTCCTGCGCAAGAACCAACGGGCACTGAAGCTGAGCACGCTGGCGGCGCTGGACATCCTGGTGAAGAGCTACAGCGACGCCGTGACGCCGGCCATGATCGACGCCGTGCTGGCCGAGCTGCCGCCCCTCATCAGCGAAAGCGACATGCATGTCTCCCAGATGGCCATCGGTTTCCTCACCACGCTGGCGCGCGTGCACCCTGGCTCCCTGTCGAAGATCGGCGGCTCCATCCTGGCCGAGCTCATCGCCCTGGTGCGGTCTCCCCTCCTGCAGGGCGGCGCTCTCAGTGCCATGCTGGAGTTCTTCCAGGCCTTGGTGGCTACGGGCACGGCCAGCCTAGGCTACATGGACCTGCTACGCATGCTTACGGGCCCCGTGTACGCCCAGAGTGCTGCGCTGGCCCACAAGCAATCATATTACTCCATCGCCAAGTGTGTCGCGGCGCTGACCCGGGCCTGTCCTGCCGAGGGCCCTGCCGTGGTGGGCCAGTTCATTCAGGACGTGAAGAACTCGCGGTCCACTGACTCCATCCGGCTGCTGGCCCTGCTGTCCCTGGGAGAGGTGGGCCACCACGTGGATCTCAGCGGGCAGCCTGAACTCAAGGCGGTCATCCTGGACGCCTTCTCCTCCGCCAGCGAGGAGGTGAAGTCAGCAGCCTCCTATGCACTGGGCAGCATCAGCGTGGGCAACCTGCCGGAGTACCTGCCCTTCGTGCTGCAGGAGATCTCGGGGCAGCCCAAGCGACAGTACCTGCTGCTGCACTCGCTGAAGGAGATCATCAGCTCGGCGTCGGTGGCCGGCCTACGGCCCTATGTGGAGAGCGTGTGGACGCTGCTTCTGGCGCACAGCGAGTGCACCGAGGAGGGCACCCGCAACGTGGTGGCCGAGTGCCTGGGCAAGCTCACCTTGATAGACCCAGAGACACTGCTGCCAAGGCTCAAGGGGTACCTACTCTCAGGTAAACCAGCAGGGGGTGACCTAGGGTGCATGAAAGAATCAGCCCATGGTGTGATTTTTGTGTGCATTGGGGGAGAATTGTGTCTACTGGGTTCAAGAAGGGTGAGGAGCCCAAGAAAGATGGGGCAAAGATGGTGCTACTGTTTAAAGGTCACTTGCTGGTTATGGGTAGGCTGTGCGGTCTGCCGTGGAGGTGATCGTGTTCTCGATTCAATTCTTCCAGGGTCATCTTATGCACGGAGCTCGGTGGTGACTGCTGTGAAGTTCACCATTTCTGATCACCCACAAGCTATCGATCCTCTTCTCAAGAACTGCATAGGTATCTTGCTTTACTTGCCTCTCTCTTCAAGTTGAACAGTTCCTGCAAAATGTACCTTTGCTGCATATTAAATGGGAATGAAGTGTGATTCTAAAGTGTTATCTGCAGTATCTTAAAATAGGTTTTCTTTTGCTAGAATAAGTTGATCTGCAGAGAGTATTGTCATTGGACAGAGCTGCATGAATGGTGAATGGACTAGTAAGGTTCTGTAACTCGTACCAGGTGATTTCCTGAAAACGCTAGAGGACCCTGACCTCAACGTCCGAAGGGTGGCTCTGGTGACCTTCAACTCGGCAGCTCACAACAAGCCCTCCCTCATCCGAGACCTCCTAGACACCGTTCTTCCCCACTTGTACAACGAGACCAAAGTTCGCAAGGAGCTCATCAGAGAGGTGATTACCCCTCTGATGGAGTCACTGGAGGCTGCCTCTGTTATTTAGGTTTCTGCAGCATTTTGAGCCTCTGGCATTCCTTGAATTTCAGGTGGAAATGGGACCATTCAAGCACACTGTGGATGACGGGCTGGACATCCGGAAGGCAGCCTTCGAATGCATGTACACACTGCTAGACAGCTGCCTCGACAGACTAGATATCTTTGAGTTCCTCAACCACGTGGAAGATGGGCTGAAGGACCATTATGATATCAAGGTAATGTTGACCACAGCTCCTGCATCGTGTTGTGAAAGGTTATCAAGGCTTTATAAGTGATGGAGATGACCAGAAGATATTGGTGCAGCTTTTTAGTTGTGGTGCAGGAAGTTACTGTCAGCAGTAGAGTTGGCACCTTGAGCGAGTACATTCTGCTGGTCTCTTTCCCCAGATGCTCACATTCCTGATGCTGGCCAGACTGTCTACGTTGTGCCCAAGTGCAGTCCTGCAAAGGCTTGACAGGCTGGTAGAGCCACTGAGGGCTACATGCACCACCAAGGTCTGTACACTGTTATGTTCTGACTCTCAGTAGACTATGTTCATCCTCCAATGAGCTTGCTGTTTGCCTACGTTATCAGTGTAGCCTTCAAAAAACAGCTCTCGCGGTCATTCTTCTCTGCTGTTAATTTGACACATCCTAAATTGTTTCTTCAAGTATTCAGTGCTTCAGGCGAAGCGTGTCCTGTATAGGAGGTCAACACACGTCATCTTTGCTTGTATTTCCTGCCCTCCTTACTGTGGGCCTGACGGAAACTGCAAATGTTGTGCCCGCAGGTGAAGGCCAACTCAGTGAAGCAGGAGTTCGAGAAGCAAGACGAGCTGAAGCGGTCAGCCATGCGGGCAGTGGTGGCGCTGCTCACCATCCCCGAGGCGGAGAAGAGCCCCCTGATGAGCGAGTTCCAGTCGCAGATCAGCTCCAATCCCGAGCTGGCGGCCATCTTTGAAAGCATCCAGAAGGACTCCTCCTCTGCCAACATGGAGTCCATGGACACCAGTTAAAAAAAGGAAGAAAAACACAGTATAAAGAAGAGAAATTCACCCATTTCCATAATTCAAAGCCTTGGGGACCCTTTTAATGTTCCATGCATTGCACTGAAATATCGGTTTAGAAAAGATGAAAAAAAGCAAAAATTTATTCAAGAAAAACAGTGATAAGCCTTAGAGCTTAAACAAATGTCCCCCTCCCCCATAAGAACTGTACGGCTGGCCACTTGTTCACAATCACCTTTTTTTTGTCTAGTGTTTATATTTACGGGAATCTGCAGCTCTGCGTAGGTACTTCCATGGTGCATTCCGAGGTTGAGTAGCTTGCAGTGAGATGACGACAAGTTTTCTAAGGTTAGCTTTAAGGTGCTGGTGGAAGAATGAGAGAGAGAGAGAGAGGCGATCGGGTTTCTGACGTTTCCGTTGTTTCTGGACCACCTCTTTTGTTTTGCATTTCTTGTGCTGTTTGCTACCTGTTCTTGGCAGGTTTTGTTTTGTACATTTCGGTATCACCCCCGACGCTGACGACGGCGGCCTTCTGGTCCGAGTGTCAGCACGAGAGCCGGTGGCGGGAATGTGAGGGAGGGTCTGCTTTGTAGGATGTGCCGCATTAAAGACGTACGGTGTTCTTGGGGAACCACTATCTGAATGGTGTTTGTGTGGGCGAGGGGGCATTTCTCTCCGCTTACAATGGTGAGGAAACCTAACCGGAAGGATGGGGACGCCCTCGCTAGGCCGCACGACCCCCTGCAGTGGTGACTATTAGAACGGCACTCTCCAGAACGGGCTTAGTGTGAGACAGGCCTAGCGCAAGGAGCTCATTCCGTACAGAGAGTAGAGCTCGTCCGTTAGCCTCACCTCTATATTAGTGTTTTTCAGTGTGTCACCTAAACGACACTGGGAACAAGCCCCCAAGTGGTGTTTGTAGCAGGAGAGTGGATCTTTTTTGTTTAAATCCTTTTCACGAGTTGATCATCAGTTCTAACCAATTTCCCAAGCGCAAAAAAAACGAATCACTTAAATGATCAGCGTATAACCCTCTGTTATAAAAGGCCGCTTTCTCCCCCATGCGGCTGCCCCCTCATTTCTATGGAGACCAGGTTAAGGAAGTCAGCGGTTTAGTCGGTCATTCCCTCTGTGGTTTAGGACCAGTGCGAAGAACGAGGCTTCAGGGCTCTGAACCTGCTTGTTCTCTGGAAGAACGCCATACTCCTGTGTTGTGGAGAAGGGTATGTTGGAACATACATCTCTCATATCTGGAAAACCATCCACCAAGAAAGAGTAATAAAGTGTATTTCTGCCTGCTTTCAATTGCCTATATGCCACATTTTTACAATTGTCCTTGTTAAAGGTGTGTCAAATTAGGAACAATACAAGAACCTACTGAATTTTGAAGATCCCCCCTCAATTAACATGCAGTGTTTTATTTTAAAATCTTAACTAAAAATTGACATTTAGTGTCCAGAGTTACTGTCCTGAAGCACTGTTAACAAAAGCCTTCTCCTGTGTGTGACTGACAGACCCCTACCGTATCCAAAATTGTAGGAGAGAATTTAATATTGGGGGGGAGGGAACTTAATTGAAATACAAAGGTCTGTTTATTGGGGTAGGCTGGTGTTTGATTTTGAGTTAGAGTGTCTGATTACGTATGACACTGTGCTGCCCAGGAAGTTGACTGATGATTCTGTTTCTGAACTGAGGAAACTGAGTTGAGCCATCCTGTTGACTAGCTGGCCACCCTAAATGTTTGAGCTACGAGAGCTGGAATCGGTTAGCATGGACATATAGGTCCAGCATTACGGCTGATGGGGATGGATGCTGACCTTCATGCTGTTTTGTGGCTCTTTTGCCGGGGGGCGGCGACATTGATGTCGGGGACAGTCGAGCTCCTGCTCTGCCGCCGCTGCTTGGGCTCTGCTCGTCGCTCGGTTTCTGCTGCTGATGAGAACTCCAATTTCATTTTCCACACTAATGAGTTCCACTAATAATTTTAAACACCAATTTGCCGCTTCGTAATTTACAATAAAGAGCGAGGGATAATGGCGGTCATGGTGGTGAGTCCGTAATGGAGACCGGAGTGGGGAACTTGGCCCCCTTTCAGTGGGGTGTTCGTACCCTTTAAACGCCAAGGTCTCGGTAACAGATTGCAAATGCCTGTACTTTCCTGGTGCTTCTCTGTTGGGGAGTGAGGTTTTGTATGTGTTGAAACCCACCGATTTCAATACTCTCGGTTTTTTGACCTCCCAAAGGTCGTATGACTCGTGCAAGGCAAATTTTTGAAGATGAATGTCAGGTGAAAAGCTGAGAGATGCTGACCAACGCTCTTTGGTACTTGCCTCTGCGTCTTGTTGATGGTGTTCCTCCTGGGCTTAAAGTAACAGCCACCGCTGGAGCTCTGAATTTACTCTTGGACGTGTGCGCCGTGTCTCCATGCTCTTCTGCTGGAGGAAATACATGCCGACCCACTGCTGGGTCCCATTCCAATCTCTCGAGAGCTGCTTTGAGTTACTGCTGGGACACCACTATGTGGAGCTGAGACAGCGTCTGCTTATCGAGGCTTTGTCCTTTGAGATGGATGACAAATCTAAAACAAACTTAGGTAACAGGTTTTCCATGAATGTTTGGAGCCCCTCAAAGTGCCCTAACTTTGGCTGATGTGAGAGTTCAGTTTTTCACTTGCGATACCAGGGGCATCGCATTGTCCTGACCTGGCCATGGAAATGACCTCTGCATGTGTTGATAATGTTGGGGGTCCAGAGGCTGTGTGGGGTTTTATTCGTTCCTTTTAGGTACTTGTCTCCAGAACAGTGTTTCTCCTAAGAGCCTCTTGCTAAGTCTTCAATTTGGGTACTAATCATCACCTCCATTTGGAAGATCTTCGCTTGCCATGGTTGCATGTCAAGGAATCTGTTACTTTGGTCCGTTCATCTAGTCACCTGTTTGTAATAATGAATATAAGCTCCGCCTCCAGTGACCTTATCACAGAGGATGTTCAGAGCCTGAAGTCCTTTACAGTGGGGAGCTGGTCAAACCTCTGGGAACAGCCAAGGCTGGCTTTGATTTCTACAGCCTGGGAGATGGCAAGCCTATCTAGTGATTCTCTATAGAGTGAGACCTGCAAATGAATGACACTGCTCCTGATTCTGCTTAATTGGTAATCAATAGTATACACATAGTTACTGCTGAACACAATTAGCGAAATATCTAAGGGAAGGGTGCAGGACGGGGTGTAGTGGGAGTGGCACAAAATCAAGGTTCCCCTCCCACATCTATCGACGGCCTGTGTTGTCATGCACACCCCTGCATTTTTGATGTGGTACCTCCTTGAATTCTGTTAGAACACCGTTGTGGTTTTATCCTCTGGGCTATCCCCATGCGATTTTTAAATTGGGGGGGGCTTCTGATGTCACTCCTGAAATGTGTACGGTCTCATCTTGCTCTTGATGGTTATTTGCCGTGTTGCTCTCTCCCCCCGCCCCGCTGTTTATCGAGCGTTTTGCAGGTGCGTGTGGGACAGCGTTTGTGCTGCCTGACGCATTTTCCCGGCATGCAGATTTCCCCGCAGCCTGCCAGTAATCAAAGTTGAGTGGTGATGAAGCGGATTCTGTCATCTGCATGCTGCTGGGGGGGGGGGCGTCACCGCAGCTGCAGCCTCTTAAAGGCTCCGGCACACCCCAGCCCCCCCCCCCCGGGCGCTTCTCCTTTCCGATGCGCGTGAATGACCGGAGGCCACTTTGTTCAGCAGTGTCTGCTTTTTATAGCCCTAATTGAATGTGATTTAAGATGGAAGATGGATTTTCCCTCATCCGCCATAAAACAGGTGTTGCTTGTACAGCAGTTTGTAACTGTTAATGTAGCGTAGGTGAAACTGGATTTTCTGTTAATTCTTAGTTTGTCTGCCAACATTTTATTGGATAAATAAATCTTGCAGCTTGAGTTCGTTAGATTTATACATTAAAGTTGAGGAGTTACGTTGATGAGGCCATCTGAATGGATGGATGAATGTTTGTGATGGCAGCTGACCATTCATTGCTTTAAAAACTCAGCCTCGAATCTAGACTGAACCATTTCCCGGAATTGATAACAGGTAAACACTTAAGAGGGAAGCAACTAAACATTCCAGTTTTTGCTGCTTGTCAGTATCGTTGACAGTAAAGTGCCCTTGCTGTTAATTCTCCAAGCTCTAGTTTCTGCACATGACCAGTAAGAGGGTTTGTGGAGAAGCTGGGAGCACTGGGACCACTAGCTGCAGCTCTGTTTTCAGCAGGGACAAGACAGGTACCACTTGCAGTCAATGGGAACATGCTTCTGGCTTTTTATGATGCACTGAATCAGAAGTGCGTGTGTGTGTGTGTGTGTGTGTCGTAGATGAACACCTCTTCTGATTGGTGTGAATTCCATCCCATACCAGTTATCTTTCATAACAAATGTCACTGTCCCATATTTCTGTCAAGCCAGCACAGAGGATTTAGCGAGGCCAGTAGGTGTCTAAACTTAAGTGGCTGAGTGTGGCTTCAGCCTGTCATCTGCAGTGTTGCCAAGGTAACAGCGTTGCTTTGGACTATGCCTCAGTCCAGCAGTAAACATCAGGTTCTTGCTGCCCCCTGCTGGACTGAGGCATGATAGCGGGTGGGTCTCCAAACGTCGCATCTTGCGACTGCAGCTTCCTGGCTGGGTAACTGACGACTGACGCACGTTTAACCGAGGTTCCCGTAGCAGGCTGCGCTCATTCTTGCTGCTGCTGTTCCTGCTCGCTCCAGCAGTATTCTCGGCCCGTGCAGCACCCGAAGCATGTCACAAGGGAGTGAGAAGCTGCCTTTGACGTACCGCCAGAGTGACACAATCTGAAGGCCCGGAGCTGTGAACACAAAGCCTTAACGGGCAGCTCTTATGTGCCAGTGGTGACACACGCTCCTGTGTTATAAACTAGGCTTGCAGTGCTCTGTGGAAGGATGTCAGGTAGGCAGCCACTCTCGTCCTCGCTAACTCAACAGCAGCTGTGGCACCATCTCCATTTATGGGCTTATCTCACTGTCACATAATGACAATACAGGCAGTTCAGGGGCAAAATTTGTAGAGGAACCTTCAGCTGTTATTTATTTCTTGACTGAGATGCTTGTTGCCAGCCTGGGGTATGTTTCCCAAAAGCATAGTTGCTGTCAGCGTTGCTAACAGGAGCTTTAGGGAAACACGTCCTTGAAGATCATCTACCTTCCTTGGCTTTTGAGTTTTTAGGTTGAACAAGTCAATTATACAGAAGGTTCCGACCTTCCCGAGATGCATTTCAGACTGTGACTCTGGGATTTATCTGTGTAATTAATCGATGCTGCGGATCAGCCAGTAGAGAAACCAGGAGAGGGGAGCCAGTCCCCTGTAATGTTAAGATTAGGGGTGTTTCTGTTTCTCCATATAAAGGACCAGGAGGGATTCAGGAGATCCTGACAGACTCATTTCTGCCGGAGTGCTGTTCTGATGCCGGCCGCTCCCTCCGCCAGCAGTGCTGCTCTTATGTCTGTCAGCATTTTCCTTAAATATTTAATGCAAGGCCTGTTCCCTGGGATCACAAGTAAAGCTGCCCTCCCACGAACCTGAGCTGCGTAACTGGTTGGAAGATGGATGGATGGATGGATGGATGGATCATCTGTCCACGTTAAAGTCAGCTGAGATTTGGGTATCAAGTATTAATCGACGAAATGCTGTTTCGGTACTCGGTGGCCACACTATGTGGTACCTTATGGCTGAAGTACCACTTTTTGGCAGAGCATGAAGCCGGTGGTGCGTTTGATTTGATGTACACATAGAGAATGAGGTGCCTTCACACTTGGCCCTCCCAGTACGAGCTGTTTGCTCTAATTTCAGCAGCGGGGATCCTTCCAGCTTTCAGCAGTTCTTGATATTTATCCCCCCCCCCCCCACATGCAGAAGAACAGCTCCAAGCAGAATGCATGTGAATGATGCATGAGTGGGCTGTCGGTTACTAGCACTACAGACATGCAGTCACTTAACTAACACTTGAGCAGTTTTTCATGAACAATAACCTGACTTAACTCTCAACTCTGTTTTCAATAAGACCCCTTGAAATTAATCAATCCTGTTCTCATTGAATTGTTTAAAACTGTAATTTCCCATTTTTTTTTTTAAACAAATGTTACTGAGCCATGTTTGACTTTTACTCTTGTAACTCCTTTTGGTGGGTAATGCTCCTAATCCCCCTTGATAATAGCAGCTAGTTGTGGATATTTCAGCGCAGACACACGACATTTCAGTCTGCTTACCGTATGGAAAATACTTGGTGCTGCGTCTAAATTTAG